CTTAACAAAAATATCAGGAGAACATGTTAAAATAATTTTTACTCATTTTTTTATTCATAAATTTTTTTTTTATTTTTTGAGAAGAAATGTAAATACTTCATTATTTGCTAACTTTGACCAAAGATCTTAGATAAAAAGGAAAGCAGTCAAGATTTGGAAATGAAAGATGAGATTTTAAAGAACAGGAATTTTGTCAGCCATTTTTGTTTATTTCCTGCTTCAAATCTTTCAATTTCTATTAATTTGATAATTTCAAATAAACTTAACTATTCACTTATTTGCAAAGATTTCTAAAATGTTTTAAGAATCTGTATTTATTGATTCTTTTACTTTAAGTTTTTTATTCAAATTCATCAAATCTTCTGGTTCTGCTTTTAGTAAGTAATTTGTTTAAACTGTTTTGTAAATGTCTCTTTATTAACATGTCTGATCAAAAAAATACAGAATATATGCAGACTAATTGCAGAAATTAATTTCCCCATGAAGAGTTTATTCTTTGAAAGATTTAATGTCTATATCAATTTTAATTTCTAATGCTTTTCTTTTGATCATTTATTTCCTACAGGCAAGTTCGAATGAATAGTGTGATTTAAAGTGTTTCTTTTTTATTAAACTCTATGAGTCATTAAAAATATGAATACTTTTCTTTATATGTGTAACTGAGAGTTCTTCAGGAAATGATAACTACTTTAAAAGTTATGTATACTGCTCCCGCTGTACGTCTAGAGGTCCTCAACAAAATCCAGAGACAAATATGCAATATGATAGGTCCTGACCTGGCATCTAGTCTACAGTCACTATCCCACAGACGCACACAGTATCCACAGTATCTCTAAAAAGAATACCCGCTCGGCCGGGTGGCTAGGATCAAAGTGTAGTATCTGCGCTTTGTGAGCTGCCGGGTCGGTGTCTGTCGAACTCTCTGCTTGCAGAGAGGAACCTGACGAAGCTCTGCGAAGGGTAGGGTTTCGTTGGGGAGGTTGACGGAACTGGCCCGCCTCGGCGGGTTTGGATGGTTATTTATTTTTGGCTGGGCCTACGGGCTCAGAGATACCCACATTAAAAAGGCCTTGTGCCACATTCGATCCCCGTGGGTGGATTGATAAATGCCATCCCACAGACGTGCTGTTCATGGCAACTGTTCTGATGAGATACTTTTGCTGGTTCTCAGATTGAATTTGTGAGCTACCTGTCTAGCATCTCAGTCCCACCCTTTCACTGTCAAGATGGTTAAATGTAACCATCTGTTCTTCTCAAACAGCTTCTTCTCTTGCACTTCCCATCTGTGAAACTCCTTTCTCCTTACTTGCTTTCCCAATGACTATAATCTTCAAATATTCAAGTGTAATGTCAATTGACATCTGACACCCTGAGTTTGTTCCCCCATCTTTCTCTGTATCTTTTCCTCAAACATCCCTCTTTACTCTTGTTCTCAATTCTCTGTAATCTCTTGTGTGCTAATGGCATTCCTGCCTTGCTTGGGGTGAATTGCTTTAAAAAAATAAAAGAGCAGTGACTTTTATGATGTCCGGCACATAATTTTTTGTCCTAATATATTTAAGACGATTTCAACTTTAATTTTAGTATTAGCATGTATCAAAAGTATTTTAATTTTTACAAACTTTTACTGCCACATTTATTTCATGTACACATCTAAGAACAACAACTCCATTATATTATTATTTTTTGTTTTATTTACATTACTTACATTGTTCAAAGTGTTGTCCTTATCTTTATTGTCATATTCACAATGTTACTTCAACCAATGCCAAGAACACATGGATAAAAGCGTTGATTGATGCAATCCAGTGACTTGACCCAGACAGTTGTGAGTTCAATACCTGGACACAACAGAGATGAACAGAATCTTGGAGAGTTGAATTATGAAATAACTGAAACTGAGATATCCAGAAAAGGCATAGCACATGGACGAAGTAAAGGGTTCAGTTTGAAATTCCAACTAATTCATTCAGCTGAAGAAGGCTAGAGTGTACAATGGCCAAAACTTTGTGAATATGACAATAAAGATGAGTACAACAGACCAAAAAATGTAAATAGTGTAATTAGTTACAATACCACATCTCAGAAATACAGACAGATATTTTTTGTTTTTTTTTTGTTAATTATTTTGCTTCACGCAAGACAATAAAGCCACTAAGATGTAAAGAGTTACTGAGTGTGAGAGAATATGAGAAACAAACACTGTTAAGAAGAGAGAACAACAATAACAATATAATTATTATTATTATTGTTTTGCCTTTGTTTTGTGTAATACAAGTTTTCTCCAAGTTTCAAACAGAGACTAATGTAAATGTAGTCATTGAATAGAGAGAAATCTACACAAGATGGGAGAAATACCCATTAGTATAATTTTTTGCAATTCACATATTTTAGGACTAACAGAAATTTGATCCACCTATTTACTTACTCCTTTTGATATCATTCCCAAAGTTAACAGGTCTATGTTATTGCTCTGGGGTTCTTATACCTGTTATATTATGTATCTGTCATAGAGAATTATTTAGAACATATCATTTCTACCTTATGATGCTAATCTGCTTTTAATAAATATCAAATGACTAGTCTGAACAGAGATATTGATCCTACAGGCATGGCTGGCTCAAGGTACTGGCAGCTTAGGCGGTCACCCAGGATGCCATCAAGACTGAGGGTACCATCATGCTGCCATATCATGTGTTTGGGATCATACTTGCGGTCATCAAAACAGATTAGATTCTTTGGCTATTATGTCAATAGAAAATATCTTAAAGATATCTATCTTTAAAGAAAATAGGTGTAGAAAGTGCCATGAAAAGATTTGCAGATCTAAATGCTAGAAATATATATGTTAGATAGGATAATGAATGTTTTCTTTAGCTTGTATTAAGTTGTATATTGTAATAAACTCATTATTCTACATTTTCAGCTTTTCTCCTTGTGAAAATTTAAAAAAAATATACTTGTACAGTGCCAAAGTTTATCTTTAAAGCTAGCACTGCCTACAGGACATGACCACTAGAGATCTTCTAGGATAAAAGGGTTGGGAAAAGCTCATCTGGTGTTTTAGAAAGTTGTGAGATTCATTCCTGTGTTAAACCATTGCAAGGACATGGACCAATTTAAAGAGAAGTAGATGTGGATCATAAAAGAGAATTTATGAGTTCTGAAGAATTTCTTAGGAAAAACAGTGGAGGCAAAATGTATGGGAATGAGAACTGCATACTCCAATGAACTGAATAAAATATTTTGTCTCACATTCTCAGAAGGCTACCAAATACATTGAGAATGTCTGGAGAGGAGATTGGCTTAAATATTGTAAAAAAATCAATTCATCATGTTTGTACAGAAGACTTTATATCTGCTTTGTCAAAATTCAGTTGTAAGATATCAAAAGAAAATTCAGTTTTAAAAAAGTTTAAAATAAATATATTAGCTTCTTAAGCTAAGTTTTTTTTCTTTAAAAGTGGACATAAGGTTAAAATAAGATTTTAAAATATTACATTTTTTATATAATTCCATAATATTAGGCCTGGCAATGTTAATTGTGATATTATTCCCTACAGCATTCATAATAAACATTGTTGTCATCTGACATTTCACCTTATTGAGAAGAGTAAAAAGAAAAAGTTACAAAATGATCTAAGTAGGTCAAAATAATCTGTTAAATTAGATGTTCTTAAAACTGCACCAAATTATTTAAACAAGTGATAATATTTTTCAGGAATTTTCTTTTCTTTTAGAAAATAAAACCTGCTGCAACAGTATTTTCACTGTTGCCTGAATTAATAACGAAAAAGAAAGAAAAAAAATGCAAATCAGATTCAATTACAAAGAAAAAATATTTATTTCTAACAAGCTAAATAAGGGTTCTTGCAAAAATTTGTCCCTTTTTGCTGAGAATAAGATAACCTATTCTCTGAGTAACTCACTGTAAAAAAAACATAGCAGAAAAACAAAACTTAAAAATTACAATGCACAAAAGAAAAAAAAAAAGAATTGCGCCCACCTGCTGTGTCAATGATAACAATAAAAAAAGGGGGAAGAGCCTTAGCGCTACAGTACACTTTCAGTCCTTTCGAGGTTCAAAAGTTTTTTATCTTTTTTCTTTTCTTTCTTGTGTAGACAAAGTTCTCTTCCTGGTGACCAAACTCACTTCTTTCTTCACTTATTTTCCTCCTGTCCACCGGGAAATTATGCTTTTCTTTTACGGCCACTAGAAGGTGAAAATGTGGTAAAACACTTTTTGAAAACACGTGTTTGCTTCTTCTTCTCAAACAGCTTTAGCTCCAAACTCCACTTACGGACTTCTTTTCAACTTTCTTTTCTGGGGCTTCTTCAAGAGGACTTCTCAAAACTTTCTCTGAAGGGGAAACATGCCTTCAACAACTTTGTTACCCATGCATCGTTTACTTATGAGCAAACGCTGCATGCCTTTTCAGCAGGGAGAGAGAAAAACGAACCTCTTCTCTAAGCAGTTTTGTTTCCAACTGCTCCTACGGTCCAGTTCCAGTTCTCCCTTCCCTTTCAAGGGGGGGGGGTAGTTCACCTTTGAACCATCCAATCACAGTCCATTAAAAAAATATCAGCAGGTTCTTAGGGCTAGTAACACAGTGAATGTCTTTTGTTCTCCCTTGACCTAAAAATTTTCAAATATTAAGACTGCTGAGTTATTATTAATATAGAAAATAATTCAAATGATTCTCTCCTGCTCAGCTCTCTGTGGCTATATCTAGAGAAGGAAATTGAAGTAGTCTTAGCCTGATAACCAAAAGAACTTTAGAAAATAGACAAATAAAATGTTATACAGAAATTTTATAGTAATAAGAGAACTTCTAATACAACTTATTTTTCTCTGTTGGCTGGACATTTGGCTAGCCACAAAAGTTCAGATAATATGTTATTTTTATTTTATTAAAAACGTATGTTAAGTGATCATTTTTTTCTCCAATTTTCTAAACATTAGCAATAAAATATTTGGTGAGATGATAATTTATACTTACTTTTAATGTTTCTCTCAAAATAAAGGCAATTAGGACCTCATCCATTCTTCTGTTCTGGGTGACAAGATCTTTTGATAGATCAGTCACTGAACCATTTGTGCAAAGCTGAAAAATAAATGTAAAGCTATCAGTACAGAAGATATATTTTTAGAAAAAGATTTAATAGAGCTCGTGAATGCAAATCCACAGTTTTAGACCTGATCATTTTAAAAGAGTGTTTCAAAGTTTTATTTTGTAGTAAGAAAAAAAAATAAGTGGATTTATAGTAAACGTAACTCAAGTGACATGCTGTTTTATTCTAACCTCTGGCGTTTCACTGTGCCTTTCATTATAGCTTTTCCTGGGGCATTTGTAATTCCTCTCTTTGAGTTTAAACCTATTTTGTTTTTGATTATATGCCCATCCACCTAAGAGATTTTTTTTAATCATTTCACCTCAAGCCAGGCAATAATGACACTAGAATGCAGGTGGTTACAAGGAGTGAAAGAGAATGAGAATACTTTAGGGAAGAGAAATGCCACTAGGATGCAGTGGGTTACAGGGAGTGAAAGAGAATGAGAAAATTTAAATGAGGAAAGGATATATATATGACTACTGTAATTGAATTAAATTTTGTTTTGTTTGTTTTGTGTATCTATATATATATATATATATATATATATATATATATATATATATATATATATAAATATATATATATTAATTGTTTCACCCTAAGGAAGGTGATTATGCCACTAGGATGGAGGGGGTTACAAGGAGTGATAGAGAATGAGGAGACTTAAGTGAGGAAAAGACATACATATGACTACTGTAATTGAATTAAATTTTGTTTTGTTATATATATATATATTTTAATTGTTTCACTCCAAGCAAGGCAAAGGGGATTATGCCACTAGGATGCAGGGTGTTACAGAGAGTGGAAGAGAATGATAATACTTAGTGAGGAGTTGGGAAGGGATAATAAAGGGACTGGGTTCAGGAATACAGAAGATGATGATTGATGTTGCATTTAAATTTTTGAAGATTGTAGGTAGCAGGGAAGCAAGAAATTGGAAGGGAGTCCAACAGGCAAGAAGTGTGAAAAAAAAAACTATTAGAATAGAACAGACAGTTGCATCTAGCTAGTTTAACAGTAAAATGTTGACCTGATTGCTAATCTAGTAGCCCACTTAAATTCATGCAGTTGGGGAATTAAGAAGGATAGCTTATCAGAACAATTGCCATGAAAATATTTTTTAAAAAAAGATGGATTGGAAGCCACATCACAACAGTATGAAAGTGACTGAAGCTGAGATGCCAGGTCATGATCGATTACTTTACAAACTCTTTGAAGTTTGTCAAGAATCTTAAGACAGATAGTGTAAGGAGACTTTAGAAAGTGTTATTGTGCTGATGTTACATTCACTTTTATGCTTTGCGAAAATAATGAATTCTTTCACACTAACTATGGTTTAAATAGCAGGGTAGACTAGACTCTTTAACCTTGGGTGGTGACTGATTTGGAAGGGCAATTCTGAATTCTGGGGAGAAGGTAACAAAGAATCAATTCAGTATCTTTTCCAAGAATGCATGGCAATATGAAGGCAATGATCTGTGAAGAAAGAACATGGTATTTTAATAAGATTATGATATGTGTGATGTGGGTAGCATTATGTCTAACAGTATTTAAAATGGAATCGGCAAGTTGAGTATAAATTCCAGTCTAGTTTGTTGCATCCACTTTCATACAAATGTCCATGGAAATCCATCGTCTCACTCTAGCTATGGGTTAAAAAATAGAGCAAATTAAGCACTCTAACCTTGAATGGCAGTCAATCAAACTCAGAATTCAAGACTATTTAGAAAATAATAGGAAACCACTCCATTCTCTTTTCCAAAATGTCATGGCAATTCTAAGATAATGAAGTGAAGGAATCTATAGAGATTCATGATAACCTACATCCTGATGAGACATGAAATTTTTGTTTTTTAGTCAAGTTCATCCCAAGCAAGGCAGTAAAGATACTAAGAGAAAAATAGTTACTGGGTGTGGAAGAGTTAGAAAACAAAAACATTACTAAGGAGTGTGACAAAAGGAGAGTAATCCAGAAGACACTAGATAGTGATTGATATTGCATTTAAATTCTTGAAGATTAAAGTTGGCTGGAAAGCATGAAGGCAGAAGGGAGTTCCACAAGCAAGAAGTACAAGAAAAGAAACTGTTAGCATAAAACTTATGGTTATATCTAGACAATTCAACTGTAAATGATGAAACCTTGTAACCATTCTAGTACTGTGCCTAAATTAAAAATGTCTAGGTATCATAGTGACGAGTTCATCTGGACATTTTAGAAATTAAAAAAAAAATGCAATAATGGTAATGAAGAATGTCATAAAATATTTTATAACAGTTTTATGACATTTGTCATGACCATTATGCTTAGCTTGGATTAATACCAACAATTTTGAAAATATCATATATTAGTGTGCATCAAAGTATTTTTTGTTTGATTTTTATAGTTATTTACTGTAAAATATATTTATGGTACACATCTAAACACTACCTATGACTTCACTATAATAAATATTAATGTTGAAAACATTGTATATATATATATATATATATATATATATATATATATATGATAAAAATATAATTTTAAGATATGCTATATTCATGGGTAAAAGTGCTTAGTATCAGGGGTATACAGGGATACATTATGATTTTTGGGACCCTGAGGCTAATGGAATTATGGGGATCCCCTCAGATGAAGTCACCTTCAAACCTGCCCACACCCATCTTGAATATTTTTTACTATTGATATATTTTAGTGACATTTACATAGCTTAAAGTAAAATTATTGCTAATTCTTTAAATAAACTAGACAAGCTTTCTTTTGTTTGTCAATAAAGACAAATCTTTAACAAATACTATTTTACAATTTATTACAAACCAAATAAGCACATATTTCAACACATATTTTTTATAAACAGCATTATAACAATAAATCAATCAAAATAAATATGAATTTGTCATACTGATATCTATTTAGAAGTTATAACATTGAGAAAATTGAAATCACTGCTTTAAAACAAAATCTAACATTTAACATTCTATGTTATCTACTTGAAATGCAATGAAACAAACTAAAACAATCTTTTCTTTGCTTTGCTCCATGCAGAGTTAAGTAAATATGAATTTTTCATACTGATATCATTTCCATTTAAGAAATTTCTTAGTAGTTATAACATCTAGAAAATTAAAATCATTGCTTTATAAAAGCTTGAAGGGGCCCTAGGCTGCAGCCTATACTAGCCTAGTGGATTATCCAGTCCTGAGGATATAGCATATGTAAATATAAAAGTGGACACTAAGGTCAAGTCTGAAGATTGCAGTCAAATATGAGACAGACTGTTGTCATTAGATGTTGACCTCAGTGTTCACTTTTATATTCTCTCTCTCACACACACACACACACACACACACACACACACACACACACACACACACACACACACACACACACAGAGGGGGTAATGGGTAAATTGTAGTCATTTTATATCTTTAATTTTACGCATGTGCATAATTTGTTTTGAATTTTGTCAACTGCACACTATAGTAGGGTCAGTTGGGCACCATCTGTGAGAAACAGAGCACCATGATGCAATTCATCTGCCAGAAATTTGGAATTGGCATGCTGTACTGCTTGGCATTCACACTGGAAGCCGCAATATGAACACACGGGTTCAGGGCCGGTTTTACCTCCCCGAAGGAGACTCCGCACTTCGGTGTAGCCTCCTTCGGGTTCCTCTCCATCCGTAGACAGAGAGTTGAACCGATCAGTCGCTCAGAAAGTGAACTACTGACTCACTTATCAATTTATCCATCTCACCCTGTATGTATATATATATATATATATGTGTGTGTGTGTGTGTGTGTGTGTATATATATATATATATAGAGAGAGAGAGAGAGAGAGAAAAGAGAGACAGAGAGAGAGTGAGAGAGAGCATTCATTAGATCTTCCTCAAGCTACAACATTTGGAAGAAATTAAAAATATTGATTTTTTTTTATCATTTTAGGAGGGGATTCTGTTCATAATATAAATACAGTGTTGAATCAATGACTGACCTTATAAAGAGTTATCCTTATATTGTTTTGATTTACAAATGTTAATTTTGAAACTGTGCTTACATCATTGATGACTGTGTACTATTACAAATGAGGAAATAAGGACATCATCACTACTAGGTAGTTATCAATGATGTAAGTAACTGGACATTTTAAATAAAAACAAAGTATAGATAACTCTTTATGAAATCACCATTTGATTTGACACAGTATTTATATTATCAACAGGGCCAAAGTTATAAAATGGTTAAAATCAATATTTTTAATTTCTGACAAATGTGGAATATGGAAATTCTAATGAATGCTTATCTATAAAAATTATTTCCCCACAAAATTTTCTTTATTTTTTTTTGAGCAGACTGGTCAATTTATGTTGTGCTGACTTCTCGATAATATCAGAAGATGGTCCCAGCATTTTCTATCATTAAAGATGTGAAGACCATAACCGATACAAATATTTTATATATTTTTATATATATATATATATATATATATATCAAAAAGTGTGGCTGGTCTTGCACGAAACCTTCACCACTATAATTAAATCTCATGTGCTGTTGTCGGGCTGTCGGTTTCCTGGGAACTGATCTGCTTGACCCTCATACGTTGAATTCGATGGGAGAGTTGACTATATATATATATATATATATATATATAGGATAAATAAGTCATTCAGCTGATTGATGTTATATTCAGTAGGAGTTTTGTAGACAAATCTTTATATAATCATTCTGTCCAGTCATCAAGAGTATCAGAAATTGACTTCACATTTTCTCATTTTTGTTTTTTTTATATTAAGTTGAAAAATTAATTTATCTGCTAGTTATTGGTATTAGGTTAATTTTTTTCTCTTTGTGTGTCTGTGTTTGTAAATGTATGTGCATGTGTTTATGTGTTGAATCTTGTGGTTATTGGCAATTCTGAACCTTTATTTTAAATTGGATCCCAAAACTAAATTGGTTAGCATGGACAAGGAAAATCCAGGTGAAAAGT